TCCTCCTCCTCCTCCTGTTTCTTCTATTTCTCCTCCTCCTCCTTCTATTTCTTCTTCTATTTTTCCTCCTCCTCCTTCTGTTTCTTCTCTTTCTCCTCCTCCTTCTCTTTCTCCTCCTCCTCCTTCTGTTTCTATTCCTCCTCCTCCTCCTCCTCCTCCTCCTCCTCCTCCTCCTCCTTCTATTTCTCCTCCTCCCCCTCCTCCTTTTTTTCCTAACCTGGAAGGGCATTTTATACAGACTTGGACTGTTTTGGTGGCGTTTTTCTACCTTTCCCTCCCTCGTTTGGACGAGGCTTTTTGTGGCCGCCTCGGCCTCCTCCTCCTACACGTCTCTGTCTCCAGTGCCTTCTCTCCCCTCCCTGGGCCTGTCAGCAGCTGCGCTCCCCCCCAGCTGTCTCCGGCACAGGGGGGGGCAGCTTCGGGTGGGGGTGGGGGGTGGGGGGGGCGCCAGGCCAGCCTTGTTCATTGGGATTGGGGGAGGGGGGGGGGGGAGAAAATCCTGTATATTTTAACGGAAAATCCTATGAAATGATTGGCTCAAAGTAAAGGACATTTTCTTTCAGCTTTGGTACCAGAGAGAACACTAACGGGGGCAATGCCAGGAGCTGAGCTGAGGAATGGATGGAGGGGGGGGCAAGGGGGAGGGTTTAGCTAAGGCTGAAAGAGCCCCCTTCTCTGAGGAAGGGGGAGTCCGCCCCCCCTGGAAACACAAGCCCCCCCCCAGCCTCTTGGATCCCTGGCTGGAGTTTTGGGTGCTCCAAGCCTTGAGGTCGGAAGGTCGCAGCCGCCCCCTTGGGTGAGGGGGAGCCCTTGACCTCTCGGTGCAGGAGGGCCCTGCGGGAGAGGACGGGTGGGGGTGGGGGTGGGGTGGGGGCTCTGCTTAGGGTTGGCTTGGCTGCATAGCCTGCCTGGCCCTACGCAGAGTGTTGTGCGTTGCCCTTGGCGTCCAGCCGGTTCTCAGGTGGTCCGGCCTCCCCTGAAAAGGCCCCCAGGAGGGAGGGTGGCAGGAACAAAGAGCCCCAGAGGCTATTCCCCCCCAGGATTATTACCCCTCCCTCCCTCCCTCCCTCGCGAGGGGCGGTGGGCCCTGGCCGTGCTTGGGGGTCTCCCCGCAGGGCTGAAAGGGAGGAGAAGGTGGGGTCCAGTCTAACCTTCCAGCTCCTCCAGCGAGGCGGCTTCTCTTCCTTCTCTCCCCAAAATGCTTCCCAGGAGTCAACGGGACATCCGCCCTGGGGTTCCTCCTCGGAAACATTCCCGCTTCTCTCTCAGTTCTGAAGAAACTTCTTGGATGAGAAGCAAGACGTTTTTCAAGGAAAAAAACAGGGGGTCCCCTTGCCTTTTGGGGAGGTGGGGGAAGCCCCCCCCGGGGCCAGAGATCACCAGCCGAATGTCGGGGGCGAATCGGTCTGTGAAGGTTTGCAGGCATCTCATCATCCCGCCCCCCGTTACAGCTGGGCTCATAGGGGTCCCTGGGCCACCCTCCCCAGAGCCTTTCGGGGGGTGGGTCAGCCCTCTGCCCCGCATGGAGGAGGAACCTCCCCCTCCCCGTGCTTTTGGGGTGCCCCGCTTGTCAAGGAGAGGGTGCTTGTGCTTGGCAGGAGAGGGGGAGGCAGCCATGGGTCTTCTGTGGCGGGAGGAATGGGATCTGCTGGGATCCAGGACGAGATCCCCGAGGACCTTGGGGGGGGGGG